TGACTGAGATCCTTCTCAATCTCAAAAGACAAAAAAGATGCCAAATAGAACATTGATAAATGAGTTACAGGAGTGTTAGTATTTCAAATAAATATCCCAAAAGGTAGCATTGCTTATAATCATCTGAGTTAACACTAAGTACTTTATTAGAACCTTGTTCTGGAAAGAGAACAGACTAGAAATAATTAGCTGAAACCATAAAATTTTACCTCTCTATGAAATATATTATGGTTGCATTCTGTTGCTATTGTCTTACACTGTTAAGATACCATGAAGTCAGTATTTTTGTTTGTTTCAAGGTAAAGCTGCTTTAATTTATAAATAACTTTTTCACACAGTAATTTGAATAAAAATATTAAGATTAGAAACACGAGTATAATTAGGAAACAATTCCATTTCTCTGACCTGAAGTATAAAGTGACTTTAAGAGATGCATACATAAATTTAGACTTTGAAATAGTGAATCTGTCTTTTTTTTTTTTTTTTTTTCAAGTCTTTATTATGAATTATGTGATAGGTTACATGGGAGAGCATTATATTTATATTCATCATATCGTATTTTGTTTCACTGTAATGATTACAATCCCCTCCATACAGCATCAACCAAAGGGTACACCCCGCAAGCCTGCCTCCCGCCTGCCAGCACACAGCCCCTCTCCCTCCCTGAGTCTAGAGTCCCCAGCCGCTCCATCTCTGGGTAGGGTCCCACACTCTGCTCCTCTCCCTTGATGGTCCCAGGGACCTCCTCTCCTGGACTGCAAAGTCAGCCACTCCCCTCCTTTTGTTACAAAATGTCTACCTTTACATTTCCACCCTTCACAGTCAGTCCTGATAGCAATTATTCACTATTGTACCACAAGAGTCTTATCCCCATCTCTTTTCATCAGCCCCATCCAGGCAGATTTGAAACCATTCAGTAGAGAATCTACCCTCTAGAACTAGGCTTCCTCTTGAAAGCTTGTAAACTAGTCACTTCCTGCCTTTGTAGTTCCCCACCCCCATTTTGGGTAGCCAATGTCTAAGTTGCCCATCTCTGTCAACCCTGCATACTGAGAGGGTGGGAATGATCCTTGCTGTAGAGATTTGTTCCCTCTTTTGAGTTACTACATCCATAAGTATATCAAAGTTCATCAAATTGTAGCAGATTACTCTTTTTTTTTCTTCTTCTTTCTTCTTCTAGTAGAGTTCTGATCATCCAGCCATTGAAGCAAGGTCAAGTGGGTACTATCTGCAAGTATTGGTGTTCTTATGCATCTCCCCTCACTTCATATCAGCTGGACGCTTCACTCTCCACTCTAGTGCTCTGTGGCCATATCCCTGTCTCTGGGCCCAGGAGTCCCCAGGTCTTACCACACTGCTGGCCAACCAGGTCTCCATCCAGGTTCACAGGAGTCTATTGAACGCTGTAGGACTTAGCTCACAACTTCATTGCTGTTTTTCCCCCATTTCCTCTTATTGGTGACCAATGTGGTCACCAGCCAGACCACATGCCTGCTCATGTATTCCCCTTGAGTCTTGGAAGGGGGTTTGCCCTGAGGGGACCCGACCCCTTGCCTTGATGGCTCCCGGGGGTGAGCTACTTGCTTGTCCTTGTAGTAGTCAATCAGATTGCTATTATTGTTTTGGATTTTTATTGCCGGTCTTTCTTTCAAGAAATATCTTCTGTTCTAGCCACTCCAGGTTGGTCTGCTTGTCCTTTCAAGTGGAAATTTCCTAACTCAGAAGATTCTGGATGGGGTTCAGGATTTCACCTGTGGTTTTATGCAATGCAAAGGCTCCACAGGAAGCCTCCTTCACTGTTCAAGTTCTAGCCCCATTTTAGGTATTCCAATCTGTTATAGGCTGAAGATGGACTTACAAGCTTTCTATGGTGATGTTTCTGGCTATGCCTTTCTTTCCCCCTCAAGTGTCTACTTTACAATGGTAGGCAAGGAAAACCAAAATTCAAAAGACAGCCAAGTATCTTAATATTATTTCCCCTCTTTTACCCATTCCAACCATGCCTCAATCCCTGTATTCCAGAGCCCTGTTGTTCTAAGGTTGTGCATACATCATTGTTTACCTGTGTCCCACTTAGCCCATGCAGACCTGCCTAACTATTCTCCCATCTGCCTTGTTCTTCCATTCCCCTCCCTCTTGTGTATTGCCTCCCATCCCCCAGCACCCAAGAAGTCAGTATTTTTTAGCTATTTATGCATGGGAAAAGTGAGTCACCAGGAGATCAACTTATTTGCTCTGGATCTTATAATCAACAGGTAGCAGAAGCAAGACAAATGAAAACACTTGTAAGGTTTTTATTCAGCCCATGAAGTGACAGTAACAGAAAAAAAAAATCTAGTGGCTGTTAATATCATTTGTTCTTTTTCCCATAAGGAAATTCATTCGTACAGGGAGGCTTCAAAAAGTTCTTGAGAAAATATCATTATCTTTCTATTTCATCTTTCCTTGAACTTTTTTAAGCTCCCTCAAATTTTCCCTGCCTTCAAACAGTGAAATTTTGGTTTCCAAATGAAATAGATGTAATCTTTGCTTAGTTCTTGAGTCCAAAGGCCAACTGGAAAGTGAATATGTCCTTAAGATATCTGCTTCATTTTTGGGACAAACTCAACTTAGTTTCCGGGTAATTGTGGAATTCATTTATCAATTTTAAATGAACATGGAAAAATATTTAACTGGCGGTTGCTGCCCAAATTCTGTGTAGAACATCACTAAACTGCACAAGTAGCCCCAATTTTTTTTTTCTCATTTTGTAGAGGATTATCTGAAGTAGCTAGAGAAATAATTTCATACAAAATTCTATTTTTAAAAAATCCAGTAATGGGGAATAAGACCCTTCTGTTGCCCAATTACCATATTTATACTGAGTGTAGGTACATGGACCCTGTCCAGCAGAAAAATGATGACTGAAAATAACCATGGTCTCTTCTAAAAATCGTTGTCTACAATTTTTATCTTGAAAAGCATTTATTTTTATACACATTTCTAGATTTGAGACAATTGAATCATATGTATCTGGTGGACATATATATATGAGGAGGCTTCAAAAAATTCATGGAAAAATGAAATGAAAAGATAGTGGAATTTTTTCAAAAACTTTTTGGAGCTTCCTTGTACAATGGAAGCTGTGAAAGCTGGGACTCAAAGGAACACTCTTGTTTTTCTGGGTCTGCTAAGTTTTTTTGCCTTGGAAGAAACAGGGTATAGTCTTACCACTTACCTTATTACTCATTTTAGTAGAAAATATTTATGTTTTTCTTCTTTGACAGATTTCTGCCCTACATAGATTCCAACTTTTGCAGGTTTTACTGTATACGCACTGTGGTCTAAAGCAAAAAATAAGGTATTACATCAGATATGTAAAAGGATAGAGAAGAAGACAATCTGAAATCACTGGAAGCCCCACAATAGTTTTCTTCTTGGGTTTCCTCTGTTCACAGCCTGGAAAAAATCACCTTCCCTATCTCTGGGTTCCAGCCCTTACTTCTCCAAGCTCAACACTCCTGGGCATGTTGTTATTAGACTATTTGTGTACTATCATTGGTTTTTAAATGTTAGGGAACTCACACAATCTCTGGAAAGGCCAAAGAATCAGTGAGACTTGAAGGAACACCACCCAAACCACAAAGAGGGGGCTGCTCAAATGACGATGCCACTAAATAGACACAATATTTGACATAAGCACAAGTCATACAAGTGACATTGGGGACTAGATGCTGGAAGCACTGCTGCTGCTTGGGGGACATCTCCCCCGTAACTACTTGAGCAGTTAAATGTATTGTCATTGTTAAGTGCTGTGGAGTCAGTTGCAACTCAGAGCAACCCTGTATAGAGTTTCCAAGAGAGACTGGTGAGTTTGAACCACTAACTTTGGGATTAGCAGTCCAGTGTTCATCCTGCAGTGCCATACCAGGACTCCTGTTGGGTGTATATAGATGTGTATTTTTCCCATGAAAATACTAACATCCATAAAATTACTATCAATAAAGATGTTTTGAATTGGTGAATGAAGGAATGACTGGGTGAGAATCAGACAATAGTAGATTATGGATGAAGCATGTTGGTAGGAATAATACAGGTTTACCTAGGAAACCACAGAAAGAACTGTTGTTTCAAGAGCTTAATCCTAATATCTTCATAACTCATTTTTTTTCCATCTGGAAATCGGTGTTTTTAAGTAAGAGTGAATTATCCAAGTGATAAGAGATTAAAGATAAATCTGTATTACTCCGCTGTGGGCTAATGCATCAGACTGCAAAGTTGTTTGGACTGAAAGGTCACTGGTTCAAGCTCACCAGCTGCTCCTTGGAAACCCTATAAGGGTCGCTATGGGTCAGAACTGACTCAACAGCACTTAACAACAACAACTCATACTTTGCTGAATTTGTTCTATTGACCTCCACTGAGGATTCTTCTTTATGGCTTACTGTACCCACATTCTCCCCAAACCATAGAGAGAAGGCTGGAGGTAGCAGATCCATTGGATTTTTTTTTTTTTTAAGTTTTAATTCTGAATTAAGTGAATGCTTATAGGGCAGATTATCAGTTTTACATTCAATAAATCTTATTTAACTTCATTGTAATAATCACAATCCTTTCTGTGTATCACCAGTCAACAGTATTGATTTCTGTCCTCTCCACCCCTTTTTTTTTAAATTCCCTTTTTTTTTTTTTTTTTGATGTACACATACAAAACAGAAAATACACATTCGTTTAAATGTCCAAAGCACATACCTTGCAAGGGATCCTCCTGCCGGCAGGCACACTTCCTTTCTCAGTCTGTGGGTCTAGAGTATTCAACTGTTCCCTCTATATACCATCACCTTTGCCAGTCTCTGTTGTTGCTGATCTAGTTGGATTTCAAATGAAACTTAAATGAATGTTCACTTCCTCATTGTGCGTGTCTCATGTGACAAGTTTCAATTTCTATTTAAAGTTAGTTTATCTGAAATCTCCTTGCTGTCTTTGAAAGAGCTCACCAATTCTGTCTTCTTCCGAGTGAGTTCACCAATTCAAGAAGGACTCTTACTATGGGAGCACCTGCTGGTTCTGGCACGTAAGTACTGCTTGCTCTGATTCTCCTGAACTTTCTTTAAACACTCCTTTCTCCTTTATGCTTTTAGCTTGCTCTATCTGCCAGTTTACAGTCCTTTGTTTCAGGAAGTAAACAAAAAAATCATGTCGCCCAACTTGCTGCTTCTCTTTTTAACTAAAAATTTTCTGCTTAAAATCTCTAAGTCTTACATTGAAAGCACAGCTTTCTTTGGACTATAATCTGGAGACATAGATGGTTAGAATTCCAGATGTTATGAATTAAAGGAAATATAGTGGTGGTGTGCCATGGAGAAAATAAAATCTAGGTTGAAGGAGCTAGTCATTGAATTTCTGTTAAAAGTCCTTTTGAATTAAGTATAGATGTGGTGTTTTAAAAATTAATGAATTGTTTCTATTGAAATAGATATTTTGATTCCTAAGGAAAAAAGTTTAGAAAGTAAAATGACCATGGGCATGAGAACAGTAGATAGGAGTTGTCCTTGAAATACTTTAAATGTAAATGACATTTAAGTAAACCAGTTAAGAAGAACTTATGGGTCCAAAAATTCAGGAGATAAACTTGATTTTTCAGAACTTTGTCTTATTAAGAGTGGTCTTTTGGAAAGGAAGAAAGAGAATTTCCATTCATTAGATTTGTTGGCAAATCCTGGAAAGTCCCAACTATTTTCCCTCTAGATATAAATTTGGTTTCTTGGAAATTTTCTGAAATTGACTTTTTCAAGTGCTACTAAGTAACGGACCTGGTAGTTAAGACGTAAACATGAAGTTATATGTGGCTATAGATCCCAGAAATTCCCTCACAAAAAAAGTCATTAAAGGGATTATTGTTAAATGCTGTCAAGTCAGCTCTGACTCATAGCAACCCTGTATAGGGTTTCTGAGGAGTAGCTAGCTGTTGGGTTTGAACTACTGACCTTGTGGTTAGCAGTCCAGTGTTTATCCTACAGTGCCATACCCTAGAAAATCCATCCCTTTGAAGGATTTGTTTTTGTTGTGGGGGAATATATATATATATATATACATGGTCTATACTTGCAACTAGAAGCTGTTCTTCCTATGTTATCTTTCCTTAAACAGAATGAAATGGTTGGTTTGGGTGCTCCTGGTGTGCCCCTCTGCAATGGCACAACTGCGTAAGGATCCTACGCTGGATAACCACTGGGACCTCTGGAAGAAAACATATAGCAAACAATACGAGGAAAAGGTAGATGAGATTGCAACTCAAGTGATAACACTTCTGTACCTTTACCTATGCTTTCTCCCTATCCAAATTTCATTCTCATACCAAAAATCCAAACCAAATCCACTACCATGGAGTTGATTCCGACTCCTGGTAACTTCTACAGGATTTCCAAGTCTGCACATTTTTACAGAAGTAGACAGTCTCAACTTTTTCCCGAGGAGCGGCTGGTGAGTTTGAATCTCTGACTTTGAAGTTAACAGTTCAGCATTTATTCTACAGTTCACCAGGTTTCCTTATGTTCTTACAGGCAGTGTCTAAATCAATATTATGCACTCATATCTTGCCAGATGATGTTCTTGGCACTAGAGATAAAGCAAGAAGCAAAACAAAGTTCCGTTCTTACAGCGCTTACATCCTACTAAGAGAAACAGGAAATAAATAGATATGTTGGAGTCCTGGTGTGGTGTTGTAGATAATCACTGGATTGCTAACCACAAGCCTAGTGATTCCAACCCACCAGCCATACCTTACAAATCCTATACAGGGTTGCTGTGAGTCGGAGCCAACTCGACTGCACTTAGCAACCAAAACAACAATACAGTATATTACAAGGTAATGAGTGCAGAAGAGAAAAGTAAGCTAGGAATGGGGGACAGGTATGGTTCTGAGTGATGGCAATCAGAGGTCAGGAATGATTTTTCTCTATATATGATAGGATGGTCAGAGAAGTTTCATTAATTAAGTGATACTTGAGTAGACACTAGACAGAAGCCAAGGAGCGAATAAAGTGGATAACTGGGGTCAAAGGTTCCAGACCAAAGTAAAATGAGTGCAAGACTCTGAGGAAAGAGCATATTGGAATGTTTGAGGAACAAAAAGACCTTATCACAGTCCTTAGAGCACAAAAACACAACCAGATGTTGTTTCTTAACTCTTGCTTCTCACCTTGCATATTCAATGACAACAGATGAATGGATGAACAAAATGTGGTGCATACATACAATGGAATACTATTCAGTCAGTAAAAGAAATGAAATCTTGAAACATGCGGCAATATGGATAGAACTGGAAGGCATTATTATGAGTGAAATAAGTCAGTCAAGAAAGGGCAAATAATGTATGACCTAATTTATATAAAAAGACAAGAAAAGTCAAATGTATACAGAACAAAGTTTTTTAGTGGTTATTAGGACTCCTGGTATGGTGCTGTAGGATCAGCACTGGGCTGTGAACTACAAGGCTGGCAGTCAAACCCACGAGCTGCTCTTTGGAAACCCTCTACAGGGTTGTTATGAGTCGAAACTGGTACTAACAACAATAACGGGCAGGAGGAAAGAGGAAGAGAAGGGTAAGAGTTACGGAAGTATTTTGTTGCTTAAGGGTAGAGTTGCACAACTGATAATTGGAAGTACAGTCAATAAATTGTACATGTACAAAAACAAAACCCCCAAACAACAAAAAACTTAGTGATTGATCTTAAAACTTTAACACTATTTTTCGAATTACTAGGTCTTAAAACTACATAATGTCCCTGAGTTTGTAAGCATTATGTATTAATTTATTTGATGTATTATTTTGTATAAAAATGACACACTTAGTAGGACATGCACACTGAGTTGTTTTCTTAGTGGTGATGAAGCTCACACTCACTCACTCCCCTTTAGGAAGAAGCCCCCAATTTCAAAGTTGACTAAGTTAGCTTTGCAGTTAGCACCATTATTTAGCAAAATGAATTCTAGCCCTCTTTTTAATGATGCTAGTCCCTCAGGAGGAATGAGCATGACTTTTGATTAACAGTCCTGATACCTTTATAAATTTATTTCAAAGTTTACTTACTTGTCTCTTTTATCTTTTTCTGTCCTTTGTTAGATTTCTTCCAATTTTTCCCTTCTAGTGGAAGGAACTCTGGTAGCGTAGTGGTTATGAATCGGGCTGCGAACCTTAAGGTCAGCAGTTCAAAACTACCAGCTGTACCATGGGAGAAAGATGAAGTTTTCTGCTCCTGTAAAGATTTACAGCCTCGGAAACCCTGTACAGGTTCGCTGTGAGTCAGAACCGACTCCACGGCACTTAAACAAAGTGGTTTAGAGATGAGTCTTGGTGGTGCAATGGTTAAGTAGCAAACTACTAACTGGAAAGATTGGTCAGCAGTTTGAACTCCCCAGAGGCTCTGTGGAAGAAGGATGTTGCAATCAGCTCCTGCAGAGTTTAGCCTTGCAAATTCTATGTGACAGTCCTACTTTGTCTTACAGAATCATTAAGAGTTTGAATTAACTTGACAGTAGTAGGTTTGGGTTTTCTGGGGTGTCTATACATGCCAAATACTAGGGTAACAGAGTAAAACTTTGTTCCAAGGGAGACGAGTTTTCACTACCTGAAACCAGAGTCTGGGCTCTCCCACTCAGGGACTAGAACTTCTGCTGACTGATCACGAAGGCTACTATTTAATGGCAACTGTGACTCTTGGGATAGGGTAGCATAAGCCAAAAAAAAACGAAAGCTAAACCCATTGCCATCAAGTTGATGACAACTCATAGCAACCCTATCAGACAGAGCAAAACTGCCTCATAGAGATTCCAAGGCTAAAAGGAGCTCTGGTAGCGTAGTGGTTACGAATCGGGCTGCAAACCTTAAGGTCAGCGGTTCGAAACTACCAGCTGCTCTGCGGGAGAAAGATGAGGCTTTCTACTCCCGTAAAGATTTACACCCTCAGAAACCCTATACAGGGTCGCTATGGGTCGGAACCGACTCGATGGCACATAACAACAACAACAATCTTTACAAAAGAGAATACCATATCATTCTCCATGAAGCAGCTGGTAGGTTTGAACCACCAACCTTTATGTTAGAAGCCAAGTACTTAACCACAGCACCACCAGGGCTTATTTGGAGTGAAGTAGAGGGTAAGCAATTAATTCTAAGGAACACCATGGACATCGTATTCTGTGTATGTTGAATTCTATATAAATGAAGTCCCCAGAGAGCAAAGAAAACAACTTAGAATATTAATTCACTTCAGATCAAATTAAACTCATAGAGCCAAAAAGGACTTTAGAATTGTGAAATAAGTTAGAAATCCAATTAGAAATCTTAGAAATTAAAACCATAATCATTGAAATAAGAATTTAACAAAAAGGAAAAAGTCCAGACTGGAGTGAGTTGTATGGAATGAGCAAACTGGAATATAGTACTGAGGCACTCACCTTAAATGCAGCACATGGAAATAAAAAGAAAACACTACGAAAATGCTCGTAAAAGGCATGAGAGAGACTTTGAGGCTCCAAAATACAGCTGATAGGAGTTTCTGAAGAAGAGACTTAAATGGAATGGTGCAGAAGTAATATTTTAAGAGATACTGGCTGAGAATGCAGATTTTTTTTTTTTTAAATCCTTGGACCTCCAATCAAAAGTGCTCCTCAGAGAATGATGACTCTAAGAAGTACACAAGAACAAGGAGCATTTTCTTTAAATACTATGTAATACATGCTATTTTACAACAACAGCCATAACAAACAAAAATAGATGTGATGTTACATAGGTAGATACGTATGCATACATGTGTATAAGAAGGAATATGTATATAAGAGGAGGCTTCTAAAATTGGTGGGGAAATTCCATTATCTTTTAACTCCATTTTTCTACACATTTTTGAGGTCCTTTGGTATACATATGCATGTTATTATAGAAAAAAGACTAGCTCTGTCAAAGGAAATTAAAGAGATTAATTGAAACAAAAATATAATTCAAATGGAGAATCATGGAAGCTCCAACAAGTGAAGTCACTAATCCAAGGCAGGAAGCACAAATCATACATATGAGGGAACTTCAAAAAGTTCATGGAAAATGTAATGAAAAGATATTAGAATTTTTCCATGAACTTTTTGAAGCCCCCTCATAGTTATAATGCCATACAATGAACTATAAATACAATATTATGATTCATTTATAGTGATTGAGGTCAGTCAAAGATAAGGCAAAGCAAAATATGATTTTTAACACTATTGTTTATATCAATACAACTGGAATACATTGATTGGCTAAAAGACATAATTTATGTGGTCCCAGAGGTAGTCTCATGGCCAATCACAAATGGCATTATGGACATTTTTGGGAATTTAAAAATTACCTTGCCAAGGAAACAAATTTTCCTAGTGAGATCTGAAACAAATAATTTCAATAAGGTGTTGGTTACAAACTCCATGATATGAAGTATCCACAATTCTTAACCTGACCACAAAGGAAACCATTTCTTGAATGATACGGTTGATTCCCAAACAAGGTTTGAATCTGTGTGAAAAATGGGAAGCCTTTAGCTTTAGTTCAGCAGTTTTACCTTAGGTCAGATGGCTCTTTGATTTTATATCCTACATCAATGTATGGGTGTATCTGTAGACATATGTGTTAACATGTTTGTGTATGCTACACATATATATTCATATATATAATAAAGCACATTGAGGCCACAGTTACGGATATTTCCTAGACATAACCAAACACCATAGGGGATGAGTTTGCTGGAGTTGAAGGCTCAAGACCATAGTAACGCAATCAACTGGTCATAATTCATCAAGTTTATGTTCTACAGTCTAGCTTAGTGAGTAGCATCTCATTCACTCTCATTGCCATTGAGTCGATTCCGACTCATAGAGATCCTATGGGACAGAGTAGAACAGCTCCGTAGGATTTCTGAGACTACAAATCTTTACAGAAGCAGATAGCCTCATCTTTCTCCTTTGGAATGGTTGAGTTTGAATTGTTGACCTTGCAGTTTGCAGCCCACTGCTTATCCCAGCACACCACCAGGTCTCTGAGTAGCATCTGGGGTCTTAAAAACTTTCAAGCAGCCATCTAAGACACAACTATTAGTCTCTACTCATATAAAGCAAAAGAAAATGAAGGTAAGCAAAAGCTCAAAGAAGATACTGGTCCCTGGTACTAGCAGCTCATATAACCCACACCCTTCTCTAACCTGAGACCAGGAGAACTAGATGGTGTCTGTCTACCACAACCAACTATCTGACCAGGGACAAAACAGAACGTCCCAGTTAGAATGGGAGAAAAACGTAGAATAAAATTCAAATTCCTAAAAGAGACCAGACTCACTGGACCAATAGAGACTTAGAGGAACCTCTGAGACTAGCATCCTAAGGCAAATAATAATGGCTAGAATTAAGATTAACATGTGATTTCAGTAATTGCAGTGGATATAAATTCATTTATTCACATGCTGTCAGACAGATCTACATTTAGTAGAATGCTTCATAATGAGGTTATTTTCATTACTGAACACTTGTTTGAATTTACAACTATGTTTTGTTTTCTTAAATTTTAGAATGAAGAAGAAGCACGGCGTCTCATCTGGGAAAAGAATCTAAAATTTGTGATGCTTCACAATCTAGAGCATTCAATGGGAATGCATTCATACGATCTAGGCATGAACCACCTGGGAGACATGGTAGGTAAATTATAAACAATCCTATTTTCATGTCTTGTTAAACCTGATTGCTGTCTTCCCCCCAAACAGTTTAAAGGTCATCAACAAGTACAACAAAGGAAAATAAAGCTATATGTATATAAAGATAGAAAACAGCGTTTTCATTTTTTAAGTTTTTATTGTGAATTGAGTGATAGTTTACATGGGAGAACATGGGTTTTATACTCATTGTTTCATTGCAATGATTATAATCCCCTCCGTGCATCATCATCCAACAGTATTTGCTTCTGTTCCATCTGTTTTTTTGTTTTGTTTTGTTTTAAACAGCGAGATTAAAAAAACAACAACTTTTTTGTGTGACTTTAGTGAAGGTTTACAGAGCAGATCATCATTACATTACAAATCATATACTTCATTTTACAAGGATTGCAAACCCTTCCATGTACCATCAGTGAACAGTATTTACCTCGAGTCACTTTAACTCTTTCACTCCTCCCTGTGACCTCTGCTACCCTTCCCTCTCACCCCTGGTAACTATCATAGAACAGAAAACAGTAGGATTTAAGGTGTATGAATGAATTTGCATAGATTCCTTTCTCTGTCCTATTTTGACTACTCTCCTTAACAAATCCCTTCTTTCTAGGATTATTTTAAATTCACAGAATGCTGTGGCTTTTATTATTTATAAATTCTAGAAAACGCTGCTACAGACTATTTACTCACATTTTTTAAATAGCTAAGTCACCACTGAGACATGATGGCTCCTTCAGTTCACGGTTTGGCTTGCATTATTAGAGTAAGAAACATGAGGGGGATTCAAAAAGTTCGTGGAAAAATGAACTTTTAATTCCATTTCCACAAACTTTTTAAGCTCCCTGGGATATGTTTTATAAATGTTTGTTCCTATGTTTTGTATTTTTACATTTTTCAATTACTTAATTCTGAATTGACAACTTAATGGTGGTGGAGGAGGTGGATGTGTGTCGTGGAATTGATTCCAACTCAGAGTGACTACATATGGGATTTCTGAGGCTGCAAATCTTTATGGGAAAGATTTCCTGTAAAGCCTCCTCTTTCTCTCAAGGAGCAACTGATAGATACTGACCTTACAGTTAACAGCCCAAGTTGGAACTCACTACATTACCAGGGTTCCTAATATGGTCTACCTATTTTCTTAATGGGGAGTGTGAATATTTAAGAACACTAGCATTTCCTATTATATTCTGTCCATTCTACAAAACTTTACTAATGTTGCCATAGTACTCTTGAAACTTAAGTTCAAGACTCTCTTCTACAATTCTTTCTTACAAAGAAAACCACCAGTTCAGTCTATCTTTTATATAGTTCTTTTCTAAAATTCTGCCTTGTTTTGAACCACAAATATGCCTCCTTGTAACTTCTGATTTTCACCATATTTTTCCCTCCTTTCCAATGAAGGTGACTAACTGGAGTGCTAATTCAAATGCAACACTTAAAAGATCTAGATAATTCACCCACTAGTAGTAACCAGCACCTATGTTGGTCATAACTGCCACTGTTTTTCTTAGTGTTTCAATATATTCCCAGTTACAGTTACTAGGATATTAGAATGAAGGGTATAAGTAAAAGAAGATATATGTATTATATATTTGTTTTGTAGACCAGTGAAGAAGTCATGTCTTTGATGAGTTCTCTGAGAGTTCCCAGCCAATGGCAGAGAAATTTCACTTACAAGTCAGATCCTAATCAGAAATTGCCTGATTCTCTGGACTGGAGAGAGAAGGGCTGTGTTACTAATGTGAAATACCAGGTGAGTATTAGCATCCCAGGCCTCTGCACCAAGTAGAACGTTCGTTCTTTCTTAAATATTTAGTGTAGCTGTATAATTTGGCAGTGAATCTCACAGTCCCTTATGTTATTTTTTAGTTACTTTGTTATTCTGGTCTTCCCAACTAAATTATAAACTCCTATGTAAAAATATTTTGTTTTATTTGTATTCCTCACAGTGCTTAAAACAAGTAGTTCGAGCCACATTAGACAAAAACTGTGACGTTAATAGGTCTTTAATACAAACTTTTAGTGCCCAGGATATCCATTGACCACCCTGGACCCATTACTAAACCAATTGCTTGAGAAGCAGTACCCTCTGTGTACACACCAGTAAGTCAGTTAGTTTCCCTTTGACCTCACTTACAAATTTCAGGTTTGAAGGATGGGAAAACACTAGAGGTAAGAGTAACCTGTAAATTGTACTTACCAGATTAACTCGTGGTTAAACCAAAATACCCAAATCAAGTCTGTTGCCACCAAGTTGGTTTTGACTGATAGGGATCCTGCAGGACAGGGTGGTGGGGGTTTTCTGCTGTGGATTTGGTTCTGATTCATAGCAACCCTGCAAAAGGTTCCTGAGGCTGTAAATCTTTATGGGAACAAAAAGCTTCATTTTTCTCCCACGGAGCAGCTGGTGGTTTCAAACTACTGACCTTGTAGTTAGCAACCCAACCTATAACTCACTACGCCAAAACAGCTCCTTCACAGGACGAAGTATAACTTCCCAATATGGTTTCCAAGGTTGTAAATCTTTAAGGAAGCAGACTGCCACATCTTTCTCCCATGGAACACCTAGTGGGTTTGAACCAATAAATTTTCAGTTAGCAGTTGAGTGGTTAACCACTGTGTCACCAAGTTTCCTTAAATTCATAGTTTGGCTTGTATTATTAGAATAAGAAATATAAGCTTTACAAAACTGTCGCTTATATGTATTCTGTTTTCATTTTTCTTTAGTTTACTTAAAAGAAAACCAAAAAAACTACAAAGATTCTAAACCGGTCAGGGATAACTAAGAGTGAAACAAATGAATCTCCTTGTTGCTGTTAAGTGCCATCAAGTCTGTTCCAAGGGTTTCCAAAGAACGGCTGGTGACTTAGAATTGCCAATCTTTCAGTTAACAACGCAGTGCTTACCCTATAGCACCATACCAGACACCACCTATGTTGTTAAGGAGCTCTGGTAGCGTAGTGGTTACAAATCGGGCTGCTAATCTCAGGGTCAGCAGTTCAAAACTACCAAATGCTCCGTGGGAGAAAGATGAGGCTTTCTGCTCCCGTAATGATTTACAACCTCGGAAAGCCTGTATAGGGTCGTTATGAGTCGGAACCGACTCCACGGCACATAGCAACAACTGTGCCATCAAGTCAATTCTGACTCATAGCGACCCCGTGTAGGGTTTCCGAGGAGTGGCTGGTGGGTTTGAACAGCTGACCTTGTGGTTCCAGCTGACCTTGTGGTTCAAACCGATCTTGTGGTTTGGTGCTTAACCTACAATGCCACACCAGGACTCCTGTTGTCTCGAGAGAAGGAAATTGTAGCTGAGGAGCACTTTCTGGGAACTACTGACAGGGTTGACCATGTTGGGAGTTGCCTAGCTTGGGTTGTGCAAGTCATCCTTACTGACTTCCTTTGTGACTTTGCCTCTGTTGTAGGGTTCCTGTGGTGCTTGCTGGGCTTTCAGTGCAGTGGGGGCCCTGGAAGCACAGCTGAAACTGAAAACAGGAAAGCTGCTGTCTCTCAGTGCGCAGAATCTGGTGGACTGTTCAAATGAAAAATACCAGAATAAAGGCTGCAATGGGGGCTTCATGACACAGGCTTTCCAATATATTATTGATAACAATGGCATCGATTCTGAAGCTTCCTATCCCTACAAAGCCATGGTATGTAACAAACCTCAAGCTATCCATTGACCACAAGGGACTATCTCCAAGCCAGTTGTTTGTGAACTAGGATTGTGTGTGTCTGAAAATCCCCATCAGAAATTCTTAAATTCTCAAGTTCTTTTTTAGGCAGTAACTGGGGCACAATGATTTTTAAACAAACAAATAGAAACTCACGCTTAAAAAACAGATTTCAAGTAACTTTTCCTTAATATTATTCCTGTATATGTGCCTGGTATTTAACTTTTTTTATTCTGCAGCCTCCTATGACAGCTTGCCCTTATAGTCAGATCACTGATCACATCATTCTTCTGCCTCCTAAGAAGCTAAATAATGCTCTCCTCCTCCTTGCAAGTTCATTCTTCAGTTTGTTAAATAATGCAAGTAATGTATCCATATACAGAAAATTTGGGAAAATATATACCCCAAATTCTACTATCTTAAACATTATTACTTTGGCTTATTATTAAAGAATTAAGTTGGGTTAATGTTTTCAAGTTCTTTTCCTCTTAAACATTAAAAAAAAAATGTTTATATGAAAGAGAACTCGAGAACTTAAGAATTAGCTAGGATTCTCAGACATAACAAAAATGAATTTGTAAGCTTCTGTTGTTTATTTAAAATATCCTATAAATACTTTCCATATCTTATGGTCTTGATTTAAACCATCATTTTAACTTTGGATCATCAGCAGCAGACATTACTATCATCAAAAAGATTTTAAAACTCTACTTTAGAGTTTACGATCTCTATGTGTTACCTTATACTTGAGAGTCAAAGAGATAGTGTCTTGGCAACTTTTACAGGTATGAAGAAACTCACAATTGAAAACAGTAGGATGATTCTATATTTCTTCTGTGGTTGATGAAACATGGAATTACTAAGTTTTGGAAGTTTTAATCTTTCTTTAAACGAGAGACGGAGATAGCTCTTGCCTGGACTATTGCTGTAGTATTTTAACTGGTCCCCTTTACTCTTAAATTCATCTTTCATACTGCTGCCAATATGTTTTATTTAAAATATGAATTTGAACTTAAAATTTAAGCCATAGGCTTAAATTTAGGAGCAGTGAGTGCATGCTAAGGGTGGAGGAGCAACTCAGAAAAGGAGGGTGAGACTGTTTGCACAATTTAAAGAATGTCTTCAGTGTCACTGAGTTATACATGTTGGAACTATTGAATTGGTATATTTTGCTGTATATATTCTCAACAACAACAAATAATTTAAAAGTGAGGAAAGAATACATATCTTGAAATCCAAAATACTTAGGCTATTGATAATTTATAAAAGAAGTTGAAGTATACTTCTTTATCTCTTATACTTCTTTTTGCAGGATGAAAAGTGCCACTATGACCCCAAAAACCGAGCTGCCACATGTTCAAAGTACACTGAGCTTCCCTTTGGCAGTGAAGATGCCCTGAAAGAAGCTGTGGCCAATAAAGGACCTGTGTCTGTTGGTATAGATGCAAGTCATCCTTCTTTCTTCCTCTACAAAAGTGGTAAAAATTTAGATACATTATCCTCTTTTTATAAGCTACCATTGCACTATAAGATAATCTTATCCTTCCCCATCACTCCACCTTTGAATGTTTAAACAGAATCCTCCTTTTTATATAAAGCCAGTTTGTTTGTTTTTTTACACCTAGTTCTAATTGGTAAAGTAACACAGTTTACTAACAGTGGATGCTATGTGCTAAATTCTTAATGTGCATTATCTTATTTAATCATTACACGAATCCTAATTTACAGATGTGAAAGTTAAACTTTAGGATAATTTGCCTAACATCACACAGTTTGGAAGGGGTAGACCTGGGATTAGAAATTAATCTACTTGTTTCCCTAGGCTGTGTTTGTAAACACTATAAAGACTGTGTCATGTAGGTGTCTACCAATCATCTGTCATGTTGTCATACTGTTGTGGCTTGCATGTTGCTGTTATGCTGCAAGCTATGCCACCACTGTTTTAAACACCAGCAGGGTATACTCATGGTGGACAGGTTTCAGTTGAGCTTCCAGACTAAAACAGCCTAGGAAGAGCATGAAGAGCGCTACTTCTGAATGTTTAGCCACTGAAAACCTTATGAATAGCAGTGGAACACTTTAAGATAGCATCAGAATATTGAATATGATGAACACCACCAGAATATTGTCAGATATAGTGCCTGAAGATGAGCCCCTCAGGTTGGAAGGCACTCAAAATATGACTGGGGGGTGGGGGAAGCTGCCTCTTCAAAGAAGAATTTACCAGGATGGTGTGAATGGAGTAAAGCTTTCAGGACCTTCATTTGCTGATGGGGACAACTCAAAATGAGGAAACATAGCTGTTGTTATGTTGTTAAGTGCCCGTCAAGTCGGTTCTGACTCACAGCAACCCTGTATAGGGTTTCTGAAGAGCAGCTGGTGAGTTTGAACTGATGACCTTGCAGTTCAAATGACTTTGCAGTCCAGCGCATTAACCCACAGGACCATACCAGACATCTAGTAAAAATCGGAACATGGAATATATGAAGTACGACTCTAGGAAAATTGGAAACTGTCAAAAATAAATGGAACATATAACTATCAATATGCTTGACTCGACGGCACATAACAACAACAACAACAATGCTAGACATTAGTGAACTGAAATGGACTGGCATTGGCCATTTTTAATCTGACAATCATATGGTTTACTATGTGGGGAATGACAAATTGAAGAGAAATGGAATCACATGCATCATCAAAAAGAACAATTCAAGATCTATCTTGAAATAAACTGCTGTCTGTGATCGGATAATATCCATACGCCTACATGGAAGACCAATTAATACCACTATCTTTCAAATTTACACACCAACCACTAAAGCCAGTAATGATGAAACTGAAGAATTCTACCAACTTCTTCAGTCTGAAAATGATCAAACATGCAATCAAGATGTCTTGGTAATTACTGGTGATTGGAATTCAAAGGTTAGAAACAAACAGGAAGAAGGATCAGTAGTTGGAAAATATGGCCTTGGTGAAAGAAGTTATGCTGGAGATCGCAAGACAGAATTTTGCATGACCAATGGCTTCTTCATTGCAAATACCTTTTTAAAAATACATAAAAGACGACCATACACATGGACATCACCAGATGGAATACACAGAAATCAAGTTGACTACATCTGTGGGAAGAGATGGTGGAAAAACCCCATATCATCAGTCAAAACAAGGCCAGGGACAGACTGCACATTAATTGCTCACATGCAAGTTCAGGCTGAATCCAAAGAAAATTAAATCAAGTCCACAAGAACCAAAACTTGACCTTGAATATATCCCACCTGATTTTAGAGGTCATCAAGAACAGCTTTGATACATTAGACACTAATGACTGAATACCAGAAGAGTTGTGGGATGACATCAAGAATATCATACAGGAAGAAAGCAAAAGATCATTAAGAAAACAAGAAAGAAGGAAATGACCAAAATGGGTGTCTGAAGAGACTCTGAAACTTGATCTTCAGCATAGAGATGCTAAAGCAAATGGAAGAAATGAGGAACTAAAAGAGATCAACAGAAAATGTCAAAGCGTAGCTCAAGAAGACAAAGTCATGTATTATAATAAAATGTGCAAAGACCTGGAGTTAGAAAAACCAAAAGGGAAGAACACATTCAGCATTTCTCAAGCTGAAAGAACTGAAGGAAAAAACCATCCACTTGCAATACTGAAGGATTCTATGGGCAAAACATTGAACGGTACAAAAAGCATCAAAGAAGATGGAAGGAATACACAGAATCACTGTATCAAAAAGAAATGATTGATGTTTAACCATTTCAAGAAATAGCATATGATTAAGCGCCAATGGTACTGAAGATAAGAAGTCTAAGGTGCACTGAAGGCATTGGCAAAGAACAAGGCTCCAGGAATTGATAGAATACAAATTGAAGCATTTCAACAAACTGATGCTGTACTGGAGGCACTCATTTATCTCTGCCAAGAAATCTGTAAGACAGTTACCTGGCCAACTAATTGGAAGAGATCCGTATTTGTGCCTATTCCAAAGAGAGGTGACAAAATAAAATGTGAAAATCATCAGATAAATATCATTATTACCATATGCAAATAAAATTTTGGTAAAGGTAATTAAGAAATGGCTGCAACAGTACATTAACAGGGAACTTCCAGAAGTTCAAGCCAGTTTCAGATAAGGATGTCAAACAAGGGTTATCACTGCTGATGTCAGATGGAGCTTGACTGAAAGCAGAGAATGCCAGAAAGAGATTTAGCTGTGCTTTACTTACTATGAATTGGCTTATGAGGAACCTGTTTATAGACCAAGAGGCAGTTGTTCAGTATGGGTGGCACCTCAATATATAGAAAACAAAACCCCTCACCATTGGACCAATAAATAACATCATGATAAGTGGAAAAAAGATTAAAATTATTAAAGATTTCATTTTGTTTGGAACCATTATCAACACTTACGGAATTAGCAGTTAAGAAATCAAACGACATATTGCATTAGGCCAATATGCTGCACAAGACCTCTTTAAAGTACTCAAGAGCAAAGCTGTCAGTTTGAGGATTAAGGTGTGCTTGACCAAAGCTGTGATATTTTCAATAGCCTCATATATGCATGTGACAATGAATAAAGAAGACCATAGAAGAATTGACATATTTGAATGAGTGTTAGAAAGAATATTAAAAGTACTTTGGACTGCTAGAAGAACAAACTAATCTGTGTGGGAAGAAGTACAACCAGAATGCTCCTTAGAAACCAGGATGGTGAGACTTGGTCTCTCATACTTATGACACATATCATCAGTCCCTATAGAAGGATGTCATGCTTGGTAAAGTGAAGGGTATGCAAAAAAGAGGAAGGCCCCAATGAGATGGACTGGCACAGTGGCAGCAGCTACGGACTCAAGCTTAATATCGATTGTGAGGTTGGTGCGGACTAGGCATTGTTTCCTTCTGTTGTGCATAGGGTTGCTATGAGCCGGAACCAACTTGACGGCACCTAGCAATGATGAGTGTAGGTGTAGTACGGCAGTGTACAAGGTGGGCACCTAACACTTTTTTTTTTTTTTTTTAATATGAGGCTTAAAAAATTATACACAATGAAGTCCTTGTGTGGTACTGTAGAATAAGCACTGGACTGCTAATTACAAGGTTGTTGGTTCAAACCCACTAGCGGCTCCTCAGAAACCCTCAAATTTCTGTGAGTCAGAACTGACTTGACAGTACTTAATAACAACAATATAAACTTAATAATACATTTCCTGAACATTTACTGAGGGTAAAGCATAGTACTGGACAAAATAGAAAGCTAGAATGTTTTGTAAAAACTTCACCTTAAAAAGCAGTTAATCTGCTAAAAGATGAAATTATGTGAAACAAACAATTTAGAAATAGATACAGAGAAATACAATATAAAATAATATAATTGCGTGTAATTTTAAAAAAGTAACTAGACCGCAAGGTCAGTTTGAACTGCAAGGTTGGCAGTTCAAATCCACCAACTGCTCCTCATAAACCCTATATAGGGTTGCTATGAGTCGGAACCAACTCAATGACACTTAACAACCATAAAAATTAGTAAAAGAAGGCAGCTTAACAGAAGTATCTGAAGGAACTATAATTGAATTGATACCAAACTTGGCAAGAAAATAAGCAAGTATAGTATTGGTGGCAAAAAATCATGTACTGTAAATACTTTAAGTATGAGAGTTTATCCTCCTAACACTTTAATTATAAACCTTATAATACATCTAAAGCAGTCTACTAAAAAGTAATTGTGAGTTCAACTATTCTTCATTGTTTCATTCCATTCACTCTTTTTCTCTGCCCATGTTTTTTCTCAGGTGTCTACTATGACCCAGCCTGTACTCAAAATGTGAATCATGGTGTTCTGGTGGTTGGCTATGGTACCCTTAATGGAAAAGACTACTGGCTTGTGAAAAACAGGTAAATACATTCACACTTTTATATAGATTTCATTTAAAACAGGAATTTGTGGGAATCTCCATAAATGCTTTTTTGTGATTATGATGATTAAGATATTGACAACAATAAACATTTATTGTTTCTTACAAAATGACATTTTAAATTACTCAGTATCCCCATTTCTTTACTTTCTATTCTGCCTTTAGCATTTTGTTTTCAGTATTCATCGCCTATAATACTTCTCTGATTTTACTAAGGAAAACCTATGTTTAAGTTTTTGAGGAATCACCACACTGTTTTCCATAGCAGCTGCACCATTTTGCATTTCTACCAGCAATGGATACAGGATTTTTCATTTTTAAAACTGGGACAATCCCAGGCAAATTAGGATGGTTGGTCACCCTAGAAGTCTGTATACGTTTTTTTTTTTGTTTTTTTTTTAAAGCGGATGAACTCTACTTGAGCCCAGTCTTACCTGGTTAAAAATAAACATAACTACTTTTACTTCTCAAGCTGGTGTGGTGCTAAAAGATAAGCAATGGACTGTTAATAGCAAAGTCAGCAATTCAAACTCATCAGCTACTCCTTGGAAACCTTACGTAGAAGGTTGCTATGAGTTGGAACCAACTCATTGGCACTTAACAACAACAACAAGATACTGTACACATATTTTAAATATATTTTCTCATTTAATTTTACCCCATTTGTCCCCATAATGCAGATTAAGAAGCTCCTGACACCAAGAGAGTTAAGAAACTTGTCCAAAGTTGAACCATTTGAGTGTTAGATCCATTTGTTATTGTTGTTAAGTGCCATAGAGTCAGTTCTGACCCATAACAACCCTGTATAGGGTTTCCAAGGAGTAGCTGATGGTTTTGTACCACTAACCTTGTGGTTAGCTTTCTAGTGCTTTCTCCTATAATACCACACTGGGAGTTTTGGAAGAACCATGTTGTTGTTAAGTGCCATCAAGTTGGTTCCAACTCTTAGCAACCCTGTATATGGTTTCTAAGGAGAAGCTGGTGAGTTTGAACCACCAACCTTATAGTTTAAACTGACCTTGTGGTCTAATGCTTATCCTACAGCGCTACACCACCACTGAGTTATAAAAATAAACAACTTGACAAGGATTGGAATGAACATTTGGAGCAGACCTTCTACAGTTCTGAAAATGAAAATTTGTCCTCAGATACTTTATTTAGCTTAAGATTTTACTCAGTTATACTCTTTAAGGAAAGGAGCTCTCGTAGCATAGTTGTTACGAGTCAGGCTGCTAACCTCAAGGTCAACAGTTCAAAACTACCAGCTGTTCCACAGGAGAAAGATGTCCAAAGTATGAGAGATGGAGTTTGGCCAGCTTGGCCTCTAAGGAGCACTATAGCTGCACTTCTTCCAAAATGGATCTATCGGTTCTTTTGGCAGCCCATTGGCACTTTCAGTATTCTCCTCCAACACCATAACTCAAAGACATCAATTCTTCTATGGTCTTCCTTATTCACTGTCCCAGCTTTTGTATGCATATGAGGTTATTGAAAACACCATGGCCTTGGGTCAGGAACACTTTAAAAAGGTCTTGTGCAGCAGATTTGCCTAATGCAATACGACGTTTGATTTCTTGACTGCTGCTTCCATGAGTTTTGATAGTTGATTCAAGAAGAATGAAGTCCTTGACAAATTCTATTTCATCCTCACTGGCTTTAGTGGTTGATGTGTAAATTTGAATAATAGTGGTATTAACTGGTATTCCCTATAGGTGCATGGATATTATTCTATCACAGACAGTGTTGTACCTCATGACAGATCTTGATATGTTGTTTTTGTCAGTCCTGGCATAGTAAACCATATAATTGTCATAGATTCAAAATGGCCAATACCTGTCCATTTCAGCTCACTAATGCCTAGGATATCGATATTTATGTGTTCCATTTCAGTTTTCACAATTTCCAATTTTCCTAAATTCATATTTTGTACATTCTATGTTCTGATTATTAATGGATGTTTACAGCTCTTTCTCTTCATTTTGAGTTGTGCAGACTCAAAGCACAAAAAATGAGTAGTGCATCCCATTTTTTGATAGTTTCAATTAGGAAGTCTCATCTCAGTTCCACGTCTAGATTTGAAAGCTTTTTGAGAGCTGTACTTATTATTGCAATTCTTAGGATTCCTTGCTCTCTATGACTTTTCCAAATAGTTGCTCAAAAATATTTAATTGACAGTCTTTAGAGGAATTTAAAGCACCCTGGTGGTGCTTCGGATAAGTGCTGAATTGATAGCCAAAATGTAGGCAGCCCAAACCCACCAGCCACTCCACAAGAAAAAAATGAGGCTGTCTGCTCCTGTAAAGGTTTATAGCCTCGGAAACCCTATACAGGGTCGCTATGAGTCAGAATCGATTTATGGCAGTGGGTATTTTGAAGGGTTAAATACATTTAAATTTAATAGACAATTATCACCCATGATGATCCCATCACACCAAACCACTTGGAGATGGGACCTTGGAAAAGATAAAAATATGAGGGGGCTTCCAAAATTTCATGGAAAGATTCCATGATCTTTCAGCCCCATTTTTCTGAACTTTTGAAGCCCCCTGTGTAATATTCCTACAGAAAGCATACTTACAAAACAGGAAGATCATAAATCCAGAATGGACGTTATATTCATATTGTTTTCTTTAGGTATTAAAAGTCTATTCATTAATATCACACTAACGCTTTACAAACTACTCTTTAAAAATGGCCTAAAAGTCAGTGGGAAATTATTATTTTGTTCTAATTTTATTTTACTGCTTTTCATATATACTTTTATATGCTTAAAAGACAAAACAGTCTAAGAGATTAAAAGTTGATAATATGACTTTATTTTATTCTTATATAATTTTTTTTTCTAAAGCTGGGGCCTTAACTTTGGTGATCAAGGATATATTAGAATGGCAAGAAATAGAGGAAATCACTGTGGGATTGCTAATTATCCATCCTATCCAGAAATCTAGAGGATCTCTTCGTTTTATGAAAATTCAAAGAAGATGAGCCACTTTCTCCTACCTTAGTTTTATCTGTTGTAACAAGTACAAATAAGTGTGTCGTGATCAATGTATGTTTACTGTACTAATTAGAAAGCAAAACAACAACAATAATAAAACATAGTTTGATTTCTTGTTTAACTTTTCAGATATTGGAAATAAAATCTTATAAATTAATAGTGTACTATAACTGTATGAGAATAATCTGTTGTACGTATCTTTGTCTTATGTTATACTCTGTTTTTTAAGCCCTCTGGTAACCCCTTTGTAATCTGATAGTGTATACGTGCTTAATAAATATCTTTCCAAATTATCATTACTAGATACCATTTTTCCTCATTCTTAGGTCATCATTAGAGAGAATGTACTTTGATGGAAGAAACTATGAAATTAAACTGAGGCATTGTGGTTCCATGGTAGAATTCACGTCTCCCATGCAGAAGACCTGAGTTCAATTCCTAGCCAGTGCAGCTCATGCACAGCTAAAACCTGTCTGTCAATGGAGGCTTATGTATTACTATGTTGTTGAACAGCTTTCAACAGAGCTTCAGACTGAAACAGATTAGGAAGAAAAATCTGGATCTCCATTCCAAAAATCAGCCAATGAAACCCCTATGAATCACAGCAGTCATCAGTAACTGATTATAGGGATGGCACAGGAACAGGCAGAGTTTCTTTCTGCTATGCATTAGATCTCCATGAGTCTAGGTTGACTCACCAGCAGCAAATAAGTGAAGTAATAAATGTCCTGAAGGCTCAGATGATGCCTTTGTACATAAAAGATTCAATAAATGTTTTTAAATGAATGTAAACAAATGCTTAAAAGACCATCTGTTTTCAAGCACTTTGGTAGAAGTCTTTTAATGATAAATAATTAAATCACCAGTTCATCTAGTCATTGACAGTTTGACTAGGACCTTTTTGACAAATAATTAAATTAACCTGAATAAAATAGCAAAACCGCATTTCTAAAAAGATTCCATTACTCATGTTTTTACTTAATTCAGATGATCTTCCTCACAATTCCTCCAGATTAGAGGATGAGTTCTGTTCTGAACAAGTAGTAGGAACTTAAGTTTTTACAAGTTAATGTCTTGTTGTTGTTAAGTGCTGTGGAGTCAGTTCGGACTCATAGTGACCCTGTGTAGTGTTTGAACCACCCTTGCAGTTAGTAGTCCAGTGCTTATTCTACAGCACCACACCAGGACTCCTAATTAATGACTATAACATGAAAAATGGGTTGGACAATATCACAAATAGATTTTAAATAACTAATTTAAATAAGATTTAAATTATTATTTTAATATTTAAATAATAAATAAATAAAGACTGGCTGTTTGAATGCACTCAGCAGCATGGTGAAACTCAAACCTGGTGCCTTAGGCTGGGTTTTCTAAAGAAAGAAAACCAGTGAAACATACATATGTATATATCAAGGAAATGGTTTACAATGGTAGAGTCCGGAACCCCAGCAGATGAGAGCAGAGAGAACCTTTCCTTTATATCCATTATATTGGGAGAAGGCCACACCCCCAAGGAAACATCCATTCAATTGATTGGCTGCTCATGGCCACTCACCATAAGTCTGTATTAGGTTTCAGCACCATTGGGATAAGCATATCTCAACCACCAATGAACTCAGTCAAATTGACACAAAACCGTAACTATTACACCTGGCAATCTGCTTCTAAAGTTCACAGCCTTGAAAACTCTGTAGAGCAGTTGTACTCTGCTATGAGCCAGAATCAACTTGATGACAACTAACAACAACAAATAATGAAACTAAGTTCACTATCTCTGGCTCTCTCATAATAAGATACATTTTATGAAACAAAAACCAAACCAAACTTACTGCAGTCAAGTCAATTCTGACTCATAATGACCCCATAGGACAGAGGAGAACTGCTTCTTAGGGTTCCAAAACTGTAAATCTTTATATGAGCACGCAGCTTTATCTTTCTCTCGTGGAGTGGCTGGTGGGTTGAACATCCGACCTTACAGTTAGCTGCCCAATGCTTCAATTTACACCATGTCAAACCAGCAGGGCTCCTGTTAAGGAATGTTGTTGTTATTAAGTGCTGTTGAGTCAGTTCTGATCATAGCCACCCTGTACAGGGTTTCCAAGGAGCATCTGGTGGGTTTGAACTGCTGACCTTGTGGTTCACAGTCCAGTGCTTATCCTACAGCACCACACTAGGAATTCTGTTAAGGAATAAAAATTACTAAATAAGATGTATGGTCATTATACATAACTATCAATCAGAAGTGTAGAAAAATATCACAGTTTAAACGTATTCAATTGATTAGTTTTTAAAATAAATTTTGTTTGCCCACAAAAGTAACTGTTGTTGTTAAGTGCCGTCCATCCCATAGCAACCCTGTATAGGGTTTCCAAGGAGCAGTTGGTGAGCTTGAACTGCTGGCCTTACAGTTCAAACAGTTTTGCAGTCTGGCGCATTAACCCACAGCGCCACACCAAGACTCCAAAAGTAACTAAGTGGAACTAAATAGCCGTTCTTAATCTTTGCTGTTCCTTGAACACCTTTACAGTCTGGTGAAGCCTATGGAGGCCTTCTCAGAAAAACGTGTTTAAATGCAAAAAATAAATACATAAGATTACAAAGAAAGCCAATTATACTGAAATGATTTATTAAATTGTTAAAAAATACAAGTTTGATATATACATAAAATATACAATGCAACTATATATAAGAGGAGCTCTGATAGCGTAGTGGTTATGAATCAGGCCACCAACCTCGACATCAGCAGTTCGAAACTACCAGCTGTTCCATGAGAGAAAGATGAGGCTTTCTGCTCCCATAAAGATTTACAGCCTCAGAAACCCTACGCAAGGTCGCTGTGAGTTGGAACCAACTCCATGGCAGATAACCACTACTGTGTGTGTGTGTGTATGTGTATGTTAGAGACAGAGAGAGAGAGTCAAAAAGTATTGCTACAAACTCATAGAAATCTTCATTAAGTAAAAACATCAAAATATGAAGTTATTTCTCAGCATATCCCCCATCTAAGTCTGTACAAATTTGATGGCAGTACTGTCACCTCTATAACCCTTCCCCGGAAGAATTCTAAGCTCTTCAATTTACACCATGTCAAAACAGCAGTTTCAGGAGAAAAAAGTCTGAAAGGGCGAGATCAGGCCTGTAGGGTGGATGGTCTAAGGCTCCACAAAGAAATTCTCACAGGGCAGCACTTTCTGCCCTCAAAGATTGAGCAAGTGCATTGATATGATGGGAAAAAATTTCTTTTCAAAAAATTTCAGGACCTTTTCTCAACAACACCGTTTTCCATTTTCTAAAACTTCTTCATAATAAGCCCCTACAATCAACTTGTGTCCTTTGAGAAAATCTGTTAATACTATCGCTTTGGATTCCCAAAACACAGTCACCATAACCTTCTGAGCTAACCTTTCTGCCTTGAATTTAACTAGCCCAGCAGATCCCCTCAGAAGCCACTGCTTCCTTTTGAACTTTTTTCTTTTTAATGCCATCCTAATGTGTCCTGGGACTCCTGGTATGGTGCTGTAGGATCAACACTAGGCTGTGAAGCACAAGGTCAGCAGTTCAAACTCACCAGCTACTCCTCAGAACCCCTATACAGGGTCACTATGAGTTGAAATTGACTTGACTGCACTAAACAGCAATAACAAGGAGAATAAAAGAAGTGTATTAAAGAAAAAACTTAAATGCGGCCATCCACTGATTGCAGAGGCATGTTTAAATAGTTTTGTGTGGAATAAACCTATGCATGTGTGAACTTTTTGATTTACTCTTGTAAATGCATTAAATAACAAGAGTCAATAACGCTCCTATATTTGAAGTAGTAATGGAATAAATGACATTTCAAAGTATCTGCAAAAACTGTAATGTGATGCAAAAATATCTGAGTATTTCTTTTAATGATAGATTCAAAAGTATTGCTAATATTACTATGGTTTATAGACTGTGTTCAGAATTGAAGAAAATGTTGAATTTCAATTAAAGGTCAATAAAAATAAAGATTTTATTTTTCCAATACAAGTTCACAAATTCTCTGAATTATATCCTGGGGTCCCTTGGAGGCCTGTGAACCCCAAATATAGAATCCTTAACTAAACAAGTAAAGTAATAAAGTATTTAACAAAGCTCTTCACTGTATGTACAACATGGGGGGGGGTGGATTTGGGCAAAAATTTCAAACTTACAATTCCACAACATTAATCACATTCACCAAGGCGTGCAATTGTCACTCTTATCCACTCCCCCTACCCGCCCCCAAATTTTTTATTACCTCAAACAGAAACCCATTACCATGTAGCCTATTCCGACTCACAGTGACCCTACAGGACAAGGTAGAACTGTCCCCATAGGAAATCCAAGACTGTAATTCTCTATGGAAGCAGACTGCCACATCGTTCTCCTACATACAAGCTGGCAGGTTTGAACCACCAACTTTTGGGTTAGTAGCTGAACTCTTAACCACTACACCACCAGCGATGCTTAATAATAACCCACTTCTCTTTAAATAGTAACTCCATACTCTTTCCTTCCCCCCAGTATCTGATAATCACAAATTTATTTTCTGTTCTAAATATTCCATGTAAGTGGAATATCTAGATATTCCATATAAATGGAATCATACAGCGTTTGTTCTTTTGAGTCTGACTTATTTAACTTTTATCATGTTTTCAAGATCCATTAATTTGATAGCATGTATCAGAACTTCATTTCTATTTATGAGTGAGTAATATCCCCCTTGCAGAGTCCTGGTGTGGTGCTATGGGCTAATGCCTCAGATTGCAAAGTCATTTGAACTGTATAGCTTGTGGTTCAAGCTCACCAGCTACTCTTTGGAAACCCTCTAGGGTCGCTATGGATTGGAATCTGTTCTATGGCACTTAACAACAACAAATATCCCATGTATGTATGTACCATATTTCACTTATTTATTGATTGATGGACTTGGGTAGTTTTGACCTTTTGGCTCTTGTGAATAATGTTGCAGTAAACATGGGTCTACAGGATCTGCTTCAGTTTTTCTAGCAGTTGCATTGCAGGTCTATGTGATTATTCTGTGTTTCACTTTTTGAGAACCACTAA